CGTGCACCCTAATTGATCAGTATCGTTTAGTTTAGAGAACATAACGACTAGCGAACTAGTCATCGCGATCACTTTAAACTTTAAATAACATCAAAAATTGCTTTGTTTGTATACAAACCACAGAACTAAATTTAATAATGTATTTCCTTTTTTATGTGTGCAATTGTGTGTGTAATTGGCTTGAGTGCCTAATAGCATTAGGCACTCAAGCCAATTAAACAAGCAGACTTTTTCAAGTCTAAGTAAGACTTTTTCTAGTTTTAGGAGCGCGAAATATCAGGTTGAACATAAAACTAAAAAACAATATTGATATTTTGACGAAGTTCCGAACTAGAATCAGCTTTACGTAACACTATATACACAACTTATATTATAGTTATGTATTTTAATGTTTTGTACAACACGTTTTTCCTAACTGTACCTAAAAGGTAGTGAACAAAGTTTTATGTATGAAAGTTAGGGGATTTAAGAGACGACCAAAGAAAAGATGGTTGGACTGTATAAAAAAAGATATGGCTAGAAAAAGAGTAAGCAGGGAAACTGACGCCGAGCCGGCCGCCGATCCGAAATAAATTTGCTAAAAGGGCAAGATTATGATGTTGTTTAAAGCGTCATCTTTTACTTTTATTATTAGCTGTACCCTGCCACGGTTTGCCGCGGCACATTGTCGTTGCATTGATTAGAACTTTTGAGTTTTGAAGCGTACACAAACCAACTTAACATTTTTATCCATATATATATATATATATATATATATATATATATATATATATATATATATAGACAAATAATCTACACAATAATTTAGTACTATCATAATTCATGTATTATTTAACTTACAGATATAAACGGATGTGGGCAGCAGGTCACTTACCTGACTGTACCTAAATGTAACAGTTTATGGACCTAAACATATTTCTAAGATGCATTTTGATGCATGCGATGATTTTGATTTTGCTTCGAAGTTTGTTAAAACTACATATTTGGTATCCTTCTGTTGCCATGCTCGTATAATTTTAAAGTTATAGATACATATCAAACACACTTACAATTAGGAAAGATCTCATCATTATTTTTCTATTAAAATTAAATATACCTATTATCTGGCTACGACACTATGACCTTTAATACATTTGATTGTTGACTAGGTGTTATACTGAATTTATTTAGATATCTATGTAGGTACCTGCTGTCACTTTGCAAATATATATATATACTTAACATACTTCTCGTTTTATTCGTTTGAGCTCTGACTGTCTTCATTGTCACTACACATACTTTATGACTTCGTTAGAAGCGTTCATGTTTGGAAATATGCAGTATGCTACATGTCTCACCATTTTCACATTATTAAGCAGTTTACATAATTCAAACAGATAACGGTACAAATTCCCAGTTGCGATTTCTGTGCGAACACGAAATGTGCAAATTCACAGTCCATTCCAAAAGTGAGGAATATTAAATGTCATACTAACAACAAAGTTAGAGATAAGGTAAGGTAAGTTATATGTAGGTGCACGAATAACAGTATAAGTTAGATACGGGACTGACTTCCAGTATGAATATTCTTACAAGCCCAGGACATGGCAAACACAACAATTGCAAATGATATATGAGTTAAAATATGGATCAAGTAGATGTTTAATCTGTCTACCTGCCCTTTTAAAGAGGAGGAAATCACTCTCCACAGCATAAACATCAGATCAAGACACTCGTAAAAGCACCATTCCAAGAAAAAGACTGAGGGTCTTCATGGGATCTTCCTATTTCACTTTTTAGTCGATTCGATTTTCATCGTGACTTTGCACGGATGGACCTCGAAGGTTTCTGCTCAAAAAACTAAGATTTCCAATGCTGTGGTTTTAAAATCATATGCAATGCTAATTCGATTTGGTATCGTGTGAAAATACTATTTTTGAGAATGCAATTGTAGTGTGTGTCTAAGTGAAACAAATAAAAAACCATGTATTAAGATTAACATCTTTATAAAAAAAAGGTAAGTGTCATTGGGTTATTGTGATCAAGTGATCTATTTATTTTCCCTACCCATTAGTATTATCACCTATCGCATACTTTGTCCTCCAAAAATCGCGTATTGCCTTTACAATTGGCTATTGACGTATCGACGTAGACGCTGCGACTGTTCTCGAAACTAGTGCAATACATGTTCACACTTGCGTGAACACTTTTGAAAGAATGCACTTTCTTTTTCTCTCAATCATTAAACAATCGATGTTCAATGATTTAAAGAAACTTTTCTTATAAGTATTAGAATTTTCACTGGTTCTTCTTAACTAAGTACATAATAATAGAAAAGTAAAATTTAAAGATATTATATCATCGTCTTATAATATGACATACCATCGCAGTAAAACAAGAGCGTCAAAAATTTAACTTTTAAGATGTCACGAAAAAACCTCTTATTTTATTATAACATGGTTAAATATACACATTACTTTACACTAATTTTAAGCAACTTTTTTAAATTATTTGGAATAGCAATAGTTATGAAAAAAAGGGGGGTCAGGCTTTACAAGCCTTCATGAAACGGACAGAATATACACCCAGACTCAGAACAAGAATTTATGGATCACATATAGTGTTGTCCTATGTGTTGTGGGGATCGAAACCATCCCGCGGCGTGGCGACCTCTTAAACCACTACACCATTAGTGCAAGTTAGTGTCCAAAAAGGATTTTATTAGGCTAGCATTTTTATGTCACTTTTTAATCGACTATACAAATAATACAAACTTGAACAGTTTATTTTGTACTGGTATGTATATTTATTTTTTATTAGTTTTTTATGCACAACGTATTTTTTTCACAGATTAGATTTTTACAATAGTCAAAATCTAGTTTGAGCTTACGTTGGTGAAGCTTAACCTACAAGCTTTTGTCTGTGTAAAGTTATTTTTCTATCTATCAAGAACAGTACATTTTTAAAACCCCCTCCTGACCATGTTCTCATCATAAGATATTCTTCAAAACAATAAGCTCCTAGCTGAGACTCCACCACGGGAAATGAACGTAAAATACCTGGCCCTCTTGAGAGAGCTACTTCAATCTCGTCCAAAAGATTATACGTCAGAAAGTAGAAAATTAACGCGTTTTCGTACGCCTGCCTTCTCAAGCTAAGTACCCCTGCACTTTACTTGAAAAGGCCAATTCAGAGTTCTCTGGGATGTTCTTTCTAGGGTATACCTTAGTACCCAGCATTAAAATACTTAACAGAACACCATCTGGTTTTGGTAAGTTTAAGTCTGACTAACCATACCATTGACACAGATAAGTTGATAACCTGAGGGGATTTCTACATGACAATAATATATGTAGATATTCCTAAGCCTACTCTAAGTAGATGAATAAATTAGCAAAGTAAACAAATTAACTATTTGAAAATTTTATGCAGGCTTAACATGATAACAATCCATGTACACTATTGTAGTTGTAGTTTGGATGGCATAACAGTTAAAGTGTAGGCAATGGGACTATTCATGGCTAGTGGGCATAATTTTTAAATTTTATCTTTAGGTCAATTTTTTGTTTAATAAATACATACATATAGAAAACACCCAAACTCCGAAACAAATATTTTTCAAATCACACAAACATTTGGTCCAACCCGGGAATCGAACCCGAGACCTCAGCACAGCACTTGCATATGCTACAACTGCACCACCATGGCAGTTAATAATAACACAGCTCACACAACCTTCTGATTGCAAACTAGGCAGAGCATGTACTATGGTAACCAGACTGGTGATAAACATACTTACATATTTCTAAATACATACACATATATAGATAAATGTAATCTGCTTAATTTAAAGAAACGATGCAACAATTATTCATATAGATAACACACAGCCTTTTTACCCTTGTAACATATTTATAATCCTTTATTTATTTATTATTTATTTATTTTGTTTCTCAATTTAGCATCATGTATGAAAAAACCGGTCAGGTACGAGTCGAACTCAAGCGCCGAGGGTTCCGTACCTACCCAGATTTTCGCGAAAATTTGTAAGTAAAAATTTTTTTTTTTAGATTTACTCCTTAGTTGTGTTGTAAGAAGTTTCTTTTTGCCAAATTCTCTTTACTTGTGCTGTAAGAATTTGCTTTTAACCAAAATTGACAATTCTAGGTCAACCGGAAGTACCCTATAGGTTAAGTAAAGAGAAAATTCTGAAAAATTAGAAAAGTTGAAAATTAAGGTAAATTTTGGTACTTACAAGTTTCGCAAAAATCGCAATTTGTCCATCTTTTATCGTGTTGACTAAGGACCTTGATTTTTATACACCTAATAGGGACTGTAGACTTCAGTATCTGGTATAAATTTCAACTTGCTAGGTCTACCCATTCCTGAGAAAATTGGTGGTTAGACACGGACAGAGGGACAAGAAAGTGATCTTATAAGGGTTCCTTTTTTACCTTTTGAGTTACGGAACCCTAAAATAGATTGCTATAAACTAGCTCTATAACACTAGTTTAATGTTTAGTATACAATGTAATATATGCAGTGGTATTTGTTTGACGTTAAGAGCTAACATTGCATAGCTAATGCAAGGTTTTTTCGAATTTATATGACACCTATGAAATGCAATCTTTTCAGTTTATATTAGTCACTTTAACAGTGTTATATTTGGCTAATTTGAAAATTTAATCATAACTAACCAATATCGAAACTTGTGACAGTAAATAAATAAAGCAGTAAATAATAAACAGCTTTGTTTCTAGTCACTGCACTAGTCCCTAGGATTGGATAATAATTACTTACTAGATGACCTTTTTTTATAAAACTGTAGTCATATAGAGTTAGTATTCAATTTATTTACTATTGTATTAAATTGCACATTAAGTATTTTTCAATAGGTACCAAATAAACCTCCAAAAGAATATATTACAATCCTTCTTTAAAAAAAGACTGTATTACTTTTCTATACAAATTTCTATAAACTATAAAAATAAGAAATAATGATTATAAAAGTATTGACTCACCTCAATGTTTCCCATAGTTTGAAAAGCCGTAAAGACGAACATAAAACCAAATCCAAGTAATATAACATTTAAAAATTTTCGATTCATTTTTAGAGAATTATTTTACAAATGATACAATAAAATGACAACGGAACTTCGCGTTACTTTTCTAAAATCATAGAGTACTAGTAGTCGTACATTCAAAAGGGAACTGAGTTGTCGACGTTATTCTCCAATGCTATTACAATTAACTTTGACTCCCTCCACCAACACGACGAATTAAAACGTGTTGTCTAACTTGTAAATAAACACACGACAGAAAAAAAGTCTTGTCAAATGTGACCACAGATAACTATACACTAGTCAGATAAATGTGACATTTAGAATGTGACATGTGAATTGTGGGAATAAAGGTGTCATTTCTTAACGTTTAGTTTCTCTTCAAATGTTCAAGCGTGTTTGTGTTTGCTGTGATTATAATTTAGATATTTTTCGGTGACAACAGGTTTAAAATCATTATTCATCATCATCATCAGACTATCGAAGTCCCCTACTGGACATAGGCCTCTCCCATCCAAATCTTTATTAATAATCTAAAACCATAACTGATACAACTAATAAATAAAAAAAATGACTATTTTATTGGTTATTATTTTGAATTATTATGATAAAATAAAAATCTTTAGTTATTTGTAAATAGATATTTGTGTATGAATGTGTTTGTTTATGTTTATGAATATTTTTAAATATTCACGTGATAATGTGTTACGTGTAGGGTAGTCCCTAAACTGTAAAATACCTAAAATCTGTGTTAAGGTTGTCTGGAAGAGATCGCTGTGAGCGATGAGACCGCCGAATGTTACGTTTACTCATTTGTAACTCGCCTTTTATTTTTTTCTATTAAAATCTATGCAATAAAGATATAAATAAATAAATAGAATCATGTTTTTAAATAAGCACAAAAAATGACACACCAATTAAGCTTTTCTTCGATAAAACTATTTACAAAAGAATAAATAGAAAATGGTGAGTATCCGTTGAGCCTTGAAACTATCCCTAAGCCATGCCAACAACATGTAGTATTATTAAAGTCATTAAATGGCTTTTAACATTGGTAAATAAAGAGTAGGTACGTAGCTAACTAAAAGAATAAAGAATTTCAAAACTCATTAAATTTTGTATTATTTAATGTCATAAATCTTTTTGAACGATAAATCAAAAAGTAATTTAATTAAGTAATTTTGCCGTTTTCAATTACCTGCCGCCCCTGGCACGTAAAGTAAATACGTCACTGCTTATAAATCATGACATGACTTCATTAGATTAACTTACCAATTTAACGAGTAGCCTAAGACAAAAATATAATAACACACTTGAAAATAGCGGAGAGTTTTCACTTTATTTAAGAAGGAAATCGGTAACTTGATGTATGGCTTTTGGTTTTAAAGCAAATACCCTTAAGTTAAGTCTTCTCACAAAGTTTATTGTCTGCGACGTGTAATCTTTCTAATACTCTGAGTCTAAAGATAAGGCACTAGGGTTAGGCAACTAAATAGGACTGGATATTTAACGGGAAGTAAGGCAGGCAGGGATAGTATTAGATGCAGCAGGATAATATTGAAGGCAAGAATAATATGGAATGAAAAATTAAATAAGACTGATAATTATCACATAAAAAGATTTCCGTTTTAATTTGACACAATTTTAGATACACAAGAAAAAATTTACAAATATAAAACTTAATAAAAAATGGTAGATTATCCGACAACCCTTTTTTGATATAACAAAAACTTTTTATTTATGACGTCCTGACTAATCATTTCAATGACGATAACCAAATTACATCCACATATTGTTTCCAATAAGAAAAATTAAGCATTTTATTATAATAGGAATTAGGGAGTCGAATAACATGATCCTATTCATAGAATCATAGCAGTAACTAAGTAAATAATTTACCGAATGATATAAAACGAATCAAAATATTTAAAATTGGTCTTTGGTCTTTTGTATTTGGTTTGTGGTTTCCAACTTTTTTTTTGCGTTTTGTTATCAAGTACAGATTATGTCTGACTACATGAAATTAGTTGTTGTCTGTGTTTGTTAGCTTATTTTATTTTCCTGATTCATCGGGAGTATTTTATTGCTGATTCTATATACGTAAAATTAATAAAAAGTGATGAGTATAATAGTGATATTAGTGGACAATGGAAATGTAGTGCCTTAATCCAAGTTTCGTGTATGAAATTATCATATTCAGTACTTCTGCACCTTCTTGATGAGGATGATCTCATTGACGTTCTGACATTACGTTCTTTCAACGAAATCTTGATCGTTTTATTATTTTACTATTGGGTCCAATGACCTTGTAACTCAAAAATAATTTCATCTAAACCGATAAACGAAAATGAAGAAACAGTTTTATAGGGTAAAGCAACTCGCGGATCAAACATTTTCAAGGTATTTTATGTACTTTACATTATCTCAGCTATCAGATAAGATGCAGTTCTTTGTAACTTCAGTTCGTTGTTATTGTAATCTTTTCACCTTTATCAGTGTCTTTAGAACCGATATAGCTGCTAGTGAAAATGAAAAAGTAACTTAATAACTTAATAATTTTTAATATAGTCAATGTCTGTTTTACAATCTTGTTTTCAATTACAGTAAATCTGGAAAGGCAGCCGGTTTGACAGATGAGTTGCAGACAGCAGACAAAAAGGTTGAACACCTACGGAATGCGTTACAATTACTTAGCAAGCGTTTGTCAACCGGTGCAGGGAGTACGCAAGGCCAGGACCCTGCCGCTAGAGAGAAAAGGCTTAAAAAATTGCCCGAGTACCTTCTTGGACTCTCTATGTGTGAAGCTAGCAATTTTGATGATGACGATAGCATATTAAAGTATATCTTGTTTGAATGTGGTGAGTAATGTGCTTTGAAAACATATGTATGTTTAAATACCCATTTAAAATAAAAAAGCAATAAATTACATTATTTTTTAATTACATAGGTAAAACAGAAAAATTTCTTGCAAATGAAATTGCTGAACACGAACTGAAAGTGGAGCAGTTGGTGTGCGCTCCACTCTCAGCTATTAGTGACACAGATCTCCCGGCTATCATGAAAGCCAAAAAACAGTTGAACAGGCTTCTAAGTGAAAAGGAATCAGCAACCAGTCGATATAATGTAAGTTATGTCTAAATCATGTCATGTCTGCTATGCTTATCAATATTTATCACACTTTTTTTTCTCGAGATGAAGCATAAGTAATCTTGCTATTTTTGTATCATATTAATATCTGGCATGTCAGTGTCAAATTGGAAGATAGATTGTGCCAGATAAAAATATTACAATAAAACCAATGAAAATATTTTTTGATCATTACACACTACATGTGTTTTATTTGTTTGTGTTGTTTTATAAAAGGAATCAACATTTTCCTTTAACAAAAATAAAAAATAAATCCTATTAAATAGTGAAATACTTGGTAACTTAATGTTTCATTTGTAATAAGATAGATAGAAACAAAAACATAATATTAGAACAGTTTGTCATGAGCAGACATGAACATGAAGAGAGTAAAACTAATTATGTACTTCTATGTTCATATAAATTAGAAGTTTTAGAAAATCTTAAGTAAATTTATTATGACAAAATGTATTTATTCTGGAATGCTATGTGTAAAAAAGAAATAAAGTCACATTTACTTTTCAGCATCTAGAAAGACAGAAAGAAGAGAATCCAACAAAATTAAGTGCTGCCAAAGAAGAACTTGAAGAGGTTGGAATTCGTGTTGAAGCAGCCCGAGATGCACTGGCCGCTGATATGTTTGCCCTTGTTGCTAAGGAAGCCCAATTGGCACACACACTCCTACAGTATGTGAAGTTACAGAGAGCATATCATGAATCCGCATTGCATTCCCTACAGGACACAGTACCTGAGTTAGAAAAATTTATTAGTAAGTATGATTTATTTCTAGCTTGTCATTCCTCCAAACAATGAAATTTTAACAATAGTTTTTATATAAATATGTTAGAAATATTTTGCAATGTTCGGCCTTGGGTACAAAGTCATAATATTAAACTATTAAAATACAAATGTTAAATATAACTATATTTGAAAACTGTCTAAATGAGCACATTACAGTCTGAGGCACCAGTGGTTATACCATTGGGCTACTGCCTTTACAGGATATATAAACAAGAGTAATTTTAATTGATCTTCATGTACACATTTTGGTAAACAGTGAATGTGGGAGAGAGAATATAGTCCATTTTTACATTACATAACACTTTTCTAATAGGATTATTGAGAATGGTATGTTATCTCATAAAACAATCACTACAGTTCACCAATTGCTGGCATGCTGTGTACATTCTGCAATTTTTAATTCTTGCATTATTTTAAACAAATTACACAAACTTTAATTTTGTTCCATTACACAACACACATTAAAAAATTAAACAGAGAGATGATAAATAACATAAATTATAAAATATACATAGTCTTATTATAAAGCTGAGCAAAAAGCATTTGTAAAAACAAAAAAAATTGCTGAAAGCTTTTTTTGCAATAGAGTACAAAAATGCATTAAACAGCTTCAAATGATGATTTAGTAGTAGCATTTTTGTTTTTGAACTCATTCTGAACATCCAAAAAAATTGTACAGGATGTGTGATGCAAAATACACCTTCATATTAAAATAAAACGCAATCTTGCGAAAAACCGGTTTATTGAAAAAAAAGAACACACTTACCCCAATTATACCGTTGAAAAACCAGCCATGTTTGTTTTCGATTTGAACATTCTCAGCCTGTACTATAAGAATAGAGGATATATTTGCCTTTGTTTGTTTGGACTACACAACAAACAAATTATTCTAAAAACAAAATAAGAATTGATTATAAGACATTTTAATTATAGCAAAAGCTGTGTACTCTTTGAATACAAGCTTTTTGGATTGTTGTAAAATACATTCTGTTCTATGGAAAACAATGTGTTGTTTATTTTTGTTTTATGTATTCTGCCATTAACAAATAGACGTACTGTCTCCGATATTGTTACATTATTAAAAATCATTAACGGAGATATAGATTGCTCGATTCTTCTTGAGAAAATTAAAATCAGAGTACCACATAATTTACGCGCTAGGCATAATCCACTCTTAGCAGTACCTCGAACAAATACCAAGTACCGCAAAAAATCCTTTATTATTCGAGCCAGTAAATCTGTAAATTATATTATGCATAAATTGAGTATCGAGTTTGAGCTCTTCAGATCCAGACTTTCACTTGTTAAAAAAATACATGCTTCAAAAAATTTTTTAAGCCCAATATTAGGAGTGTCTTCTTAGTCTAAGTTTTTCTTTTGTTTTTTTTTTATTTCGAAAATGAGATTCCTAATAAGTAATTAGTTTTTTTGAAATGAACTTTTTTCTTTGTTGTTGTTAGTAAGTTGTTTTAACTGTTGTTTTGGAATCTTTTTGCGAAGACCTGTGAATAGCTTTATTATTACTTTATAATAATGTTTTACCTTACGTTTTTTGTGCTGCTGGTATTCCGAACAAAAATAATAATAATAATGAAATTCAAGATAAAAAGGGAAAATCTGCATTATAAAGGCTATTGATACCAGTAATTTCTTTCCTAGTTAATAAATAATACTATATCTGACAACCAATTTTTCGTCTCCTTCTAACAATAGGTAACCTAGGGCCGTTTATTTTCTTTTCCTGCATGTAGCTACTTTTAGAGAACCGCGATGTTCGTGCATGACGCGTCTATATTACAATACGTCATAGATGTTTATAACAATATTATCATTCCTTTTTGTTAAACTTATATAGGTAGGATTGTAGATGGGCAGAGGGTTTGAACCCATTGGGTTAAAATGAGTTTAAACCGTTTTTTTTTGGAAAGAAACGGGTTGAAACCCAAATAAAACCCCAATTGGCGAGTTTTTACCACATTTACACCCTAAAATCTACTTTTCATCAACAGCTTTTAATAGTCCACTGCTGGACATAAGCCTCTCCTTAAAAAGGAGGTTTTGGCCTACTATACCACGCTGGCCAGACGGGTTGGTATAGGGTTTGTGTCAAGTTTTCCTTCTCTCTGCAGTGCTGTTGTTCTGCGTAGTTTTTTCCCTTAGTCGGCTCTTACGACACCCACGGGATGAATAGGGGTGGTGCCACTCTGTATTCTTAATCCGTCACCACACGGACGTTAATCCGTCACCACACGGACGCAAATCTACTTTTAGTTACTAATAAAAACTTTTTGCTGTTGTCGAGCATGCTATCACTTCGAGACATCAAATGTGACAATTAGTCCCGTTTGAATAGATCACATAATAAGTAATAGAAGTTATATTTTCGTTGGAAGGATTTCACCTGTTTCGAAATTTTCAGCCATGGCAGCTTACTTTTCAACTTATTTTAAGAACTTGTTTATTTGTCTCTGCTTGAATAAACTTTATCATCTACGTACCGAATAGTTTATATTTTTTTTAAGAATTTATATGCAAGGAGATTATTCCTATTTTTAACAAAATCCTGTTCAATAAATACATACAATTTTCTTTATGTACAAAATAAGCATACAATATTTAAATCAGTCAATCAGAATTGTCACAAACGACGAATTGTAATTCATATTGTATTGTTGTTGCTATACATTTAGATGACGCGTCGACCTCCCTATTAATGTCAATTCTAACCGGTGAACTTCCCTGAGGAGTTGTTTCACTGACCTGTTCATCGGTGCTTATGCATTCATTTATTATTATTCCAATTGTATAAAATATTATTTTAGGAGGTCTCTGCAGTGGAGGGAACGACTCGGGCAACCGAGCGCCGGGCACGCCGTCATCGCGGCGGTAAGACCCGTTATGGAGGATTGGCTCGAGAGGCGTCACGGGACCCTCTCATACCGACTGACGCAGGTGATCACTGGGAAAGGATGTTTGGGGGATCATTTGTGTCTGATCCGCAAGGAACCAAGGCCTGAGTGCCACCACTGCGATGGCCAGACCGTGGACACGGCTTTCCACACGCTGGCATAGTGCCCAGCGTGGGTTGAGCAGAGGCGAGACCTCGTGGCGGCCATCGGAGTGGGAGTTCTCTCGCTCGATAGCCTGATTGCGGCTATCGTGCGGAGCGAGAGTGCGTGGAACTCTGCCGTCTCCTTCTGCGGGCAAGTTATGCTCGCGAAGGAGACGGCGGAGAGGGACCGGGAGAGGTTTAGAACTCTCCCGGCCCGCCAGGCCCGGGAACGGGCTAGGTACCGCAGGCGACTCAGGCGCCGGAGGTCGCAGAACGATCTCCGTCCTCCATAAGCGTGATATTGACATTTACGACTATTAAAACAGTAAAATTAATAAACACCCGAATAAAAACCCTGTGGGAGGGAATGAACGATTCAAACCCGGTCTTTTGCCCATCTCTAGGTAGGATAGTGTAGGAGACTAAAGTTGATTACATTATCACTGGAAAGGTTTTATTTCAAATATATTCGCCTACAAAATAACGATGTTTATAAATAATTAATATAGATACATGCCTACTGATATGTCACTGCGTTTGAAATTATTATATACAGGAAATAATAAGTTATCCTGTAGCAGGGTACTGAACTACCAGTTTGATTTTGTTATTGTTTCTATTTATAAATTGTATCAGGATATATTAAGAATACATTTATATCTATGTAACGAAGTACCAGATGACAACTCGAAAATCCCGTTACTCTTCACGAATCCGCCTCGTTACCTAGCGATGATATTGTCGTCGTTGTAGTCATAACACTCAAAGTATATTATTGTCCTTATTAGTAAAGTTCTTACGCCCACCCTGCCACACCAGTGTAGGTTCATCAAACTGTTTCAAACTAACTAATATACATTCGGACTAGCCTTTGCCCGCTTGGGTTACAATAGGTTTTAACCGCTGCTCCGCCCGCGTGTATATCGGTTATCGCGGTCAAAAGTAGCCTTAGTAGGTAAAAATGTCCATCCTCAAGAATCAAAGTATCTCCATGCCAAATTTTCTTGAAATCGCCGTTCCTTAAAACATTTAGCCGTGAAAGCTTTACAAACAGTTACTTTTACATCTATAATATTAGAAGGTTTTATAGGTTTAAGTATTGATAACTCAAACATTACAAAAAGTACGAAGTATCTCTTAACATATATGTATATCAGAAGTATATCTGAACTGTATGAAGATTCATGTTGTACTCATAAAATGTTATGGGCCTTTGTATACCAACATTGCAAGCGATGGTACTATACTGACCATACCTTAAACAAGTTATGTAAATTTTCTTTTGTTAACTTTGACGTGGGCATATCCGTCGTTATTATCATAACTCCATAAAAATAGAATGCTTCCGTTAGAAGTACCGATTTATTGAGCCTCCTATCTATATACAGATTATGATAAAAACTGTTATGAACTTCAAAGTAGGGCTCGTGATCTTTTCCTTAATTAAAAATGTATAGCTTTAATACATAATATGTTCAATTTTATAAGTATTTTTAATGATTAGTCTTTCGCAAAAAAATAATTGCTCAAATGTTTCGCATGAATTGGAGAGATGATCAAATCGCGCTACCGTGTATTACCTTATCCTTGGGTTGCTAGTAAATGGATTGTTATTCGAAAGTATTTAGTCGCTTAATATGCACTTAACATAGTTAAATATTTTTTCATAATTGTGCAATAAAACTACTGTCTGCTATTGCATAATATATGATTGATCATTAACTTTAATTGCATACTGCGTTATCGTCAGTCATAGTACCGAAAAATTAACCTTTATATCATGAAAAATATAGTTATATTCACCACTAAATTACCAATGTCATGTAATATGTACGTTTTATAATAGTTATAGATAAATTACACATAAATAAACTAGAGATAAAATATTCTATTCGATTATAAATGTTATCATGCTAATTATATAAATATAATGAAGTCATTACTTTACAAAATGTACACACTAGTGCGGAGAGTTGTTATAAATAAGTCGAAATCACTAAGTAAATAAAACATACCCTTCTGGTAAACTAGTTCATAACGCGATTAGCAAGCAAATCTTAAGGAAAGTATGCACTAAATTATGTAAAAAAGTACCCGACCCAATTGTTGCCAATTTGTCTGGTTTGTTATTGGGTCATGTAATAATAGAGGTATAAAGAGAAAAACTAATTGGGCCTGGTTTAAACAATTTAACTTACGAAACTCCCAGATCGGTAGAACACATTCAAAGAAGACGGTTTGCCATTGACATTTTCTACTAACAAAAGGAATAAACAACAAATCTTTTTATACTTCGTAATAAGTTTTCATTACTCAAAGGGTATTAAAGATTTCTGCACACATCACGATGATAGTCCTGTAGTTAGGTATCACGGGGACTTTACTTTTACTTTAACCACTGCACCTTCTGTACAGTCATAAAACAGTTTCTTACTTTATTGCTATTAATTATCTATTCTATCACAAAACTGACGAATTCGTGTTTTCAGGAAAGAAGAATGTACTATATAGTTTTGCTTTTGAAGTTTTCAATTTTCTAATATGTTTAAGAGTTTTGCACAAGCAATGCTAAAATAATGCATACAAGATTTTTATTGGCAATTTATTTTATCTTTCAAAACGAAGAATCATAGCGTAATGCAATTATGGCACAAATAACAACTCAACAGGTTTCTTTAACGCCTCTCTAATGTTGAGTGTGGTACAAATGTTCACAGTTTATCGGTCCATTTTCCGCTTAACTCTGCTATAAATAAAACAATCACCGTACCTACAAATGTTATTTAATAGCATATTCATTTATCTTGCCAAACACGCTAACATCTCTGTGTGAAATTATAATTTTATATTTTTGAAATAGCTTTCTATCTTTTTATTTGCTTAAATAGCTCGGTGTGCTCACAAGGCTAAACTATATTGACAACGGAAGTTAAACAGTTTCTTTAGAGTTTTTCATTCAGTAGCACTGCTACCTACAGGCAGAAGACTACCTGAAATATACAGAGCAATTTAAAGCTTAAATAACGCCACTGACCCAAACTCATAAACACTAGAATAATCATTAAACTATGAAAGAGGTTTTACCTTCTACTATTAAATTATTTTTTAAGAGTCGTTTTACACACTATTTTTATTTCATCCAAAAATGGCAAAACATTTGAAGTAATAATGGTTAAAAACACAGTAAGGCAATATTCATTCTATTCATACTAGACTTTTTCTAGACATGCTATTTTCGAAATGCAGTAGTTTAGAATGCATGTGCAACTGACTAAATAGGCGCTTAATTAATCTTTTAGATTTGATCAAGCCGTTCTAACTAATTAATTATAATAAATTTCACTAATTAATACCAATATACCGATGTTTAAATATTATTAAAACAGTTTACTGATATTTATAGAAAAATACGTACGTACTACACAGTCGTGGTAATTAAAACGCCATTAAATCACATAATTTATTAAATGCCTTTAAAATTTTCATTGAAAAACATTCACAGAGTCACATAATTTTACACTCCTTTGAATTTAACTAAAAGGACACATTCTTACACGATTTTCATATGCGTTAGAGATTTCTATGATTACTAAAACTTTAGGCCACGAAGAACTTTTGAATTACCAGCATGAATCTCTCTTCTAGTTTTTAGTTAACTTGTTCGTCATACTCATAACACTTCAAATCAAGAATTTGTTTAATAAAATAAAAATAAAATTTGTTGTTAGATTTTTTTTTTTTTTACCACTACAAACGCATGTTGTTTTACAGACGATAGTTCCGTGAAACCAGTATTCGGATATCCTCTGGAGGAGCACTTGCGGGTGACAGGGCGAACCATCGCGTTCCCGATAGAACTGTGTGTGTGTACGCTGCACGAACTGGCTCTCAATGAAGAGGGCCTATTCAGAATCGCTGGCGGTATGTACAGGAAAATCAATACATTATAACGAACCGATTAACCAATAACCTGCCTTCTTAAATGACATACCTTGACAGCTTCCTCATAATGATAAAGTATTTGCTACTAATAGCATAGTAATTAGCAATAGTAGTAATAATTAAAACTTTATGTTTATAAATATTTATATTACATAAGCTGTAAAACTCTGAACATGAAATTTGGCAGAGACGTAGTTAATAAGTTAGACGGGATTTCGCCGGCCCGGCATTGTCTTTCAATTAAAAGCTGATATGAATATTCGTCTATATATACCTACCTGCTCCAGTTAGTACTTATTCTAGCAGACTTCTAACAGAGAATTAACTAATACATATTTTTATATTAAGTTACTGATAGTCTTCTGCATTATTTCAGGCACTTCAAAAGTTCGAAGACTGAAGTTATCCTTAGACGCAGGCCTGTTCAATGTTCCGTTGCCCGAGGCCTACAGAGACATGCACGTGGTTGCTTCAGTTCTCAAATGTTATTTAAGAGAACTACCCGAACCCTTATTGACATATCGCCTCTACGAAACATTTATGATCGCCTCTAGACAACCTACTGAACAAACTCGACTTAACGCTCTCTGGGAAGCCATACACTTGTTGCCCGAAGCCAACTTTCAAAATCTTAGGTATCTTATTAAATTTTTGTCTACTTTGACTCAAAACCAAAGTACTAACAAAATGACTCCCTCGAACCTTGCTATTGTCATTGCTCCCAATCTCCTCTGGGCAGCGGATGAAAGCACCTTCGACATGAATATAACAACGGCAGTCAACTGCATCGTAGAACTGCTCATCAAACACGCTGACTGGTTCTACAAAGATGATATTAACTTTTTTATCTCCTTCACGAAAGAGGATTTACTTCCAGAGCACTATGACTATGGTTTCACAACAAACTTCAATCACGGCTTTAATCAAACAGCTGCTATGAATCAAGAACCAGCTAACGGTGACTACAGCAGCATGAGTAAATCTATGTTTGATTACAATCACCACACTCAAAACAAAACAACAGACACAGGTCGACATTCGAGGAGCAATAGTCATGACACTAGTTTAATTCTTCTAGACAACAACATGAAAAAAGCTCAGTCAAATAGTTCTCTGTCTGATCAATCTAGTCCCCCACATGGAAGTCCAAAACCAATTTTAAGACGTAAAAATAAACCTTTAGCACCGGTACCACCTAATTTCACTCCTGATAAGAATAAAAAAGTAGAACCCGCAGCACCAGTGGCCGACGTCACTAGAGACCAGCTTAATGCGTCAAAGGTGGATAACGACAAGCCTGCCAAACCTCCGAGGCCTCTTGTGCCGGATACAGGGAAGGTGATTTCCGGTGTACAAACAATTAACCGTTCTACATATAGGCAAAACAGAGCAATGAAGGAAGAAGCGGCGCGCAGTGGCAGTCGCGAACATCTCGCAGATACACGCAGACAGAGTCTCGAGCTTGATAAAGATAAACTGGATATACTTAAAGTATCCGATGGTAGCAAAGAAGGGACGACTCTCGTAGTCAAGAACATGACTGCACAGTCAGTATCCGTGGGTCGCTTAAAAGTTGTCGGAGATGCAGGTAGTGGTCCAGCATCTCTAGGAGTTGAGAGAACGACTACTACTGAAAAATCAATACCAGCACGTCAACAGCCTACAACTAAACCGATCGGTCAGCCACCGCCTAGACCCGTAGCAGCGCCCCGCACTATATTACCTGTAACAGCCACTGAGGCCGATGGCGAAGTCCAACTACGGCACAAACCTGCTGTGCCTGAGCGCCCTGCAACTCTACGTCCGCAGAGCTTCCGAGCTCCGCGCTCGTCGCTTACTGACGCTTCTGAAGTCGCTCCCACGGTTCTGGAGCGGACACATATTTATACGGTTGACAAGCAACAACCTACACTTATCCAAGTTGGGGGTGGAGCTACCGCTGGAAGCGAACAGAGAGAGAGTGAAGAGATTCCGCGGGCGACGGTTCAACGTACCCATAGTTCTGGTGGTCGAGATGATGAGTTAGAAGAGCCGAGGAGCTTGTGTGTCGCTAGTCGTCAGCTCTCACAGTCGGAGGGTGATATTACAGAACCACCATCACCACGACCGCAACTGGGGCGACCTCCTCGCCCGCTTGTGCCGGCGCCCCCGCCACCGGTGCAGGTTGCCCCAGCGCACGCCCCACCAGCACACTCCCCCACAGCGTCAACCGCGCCTGGCACAACCCCCGGGTCGATCGCTCAGGCTGTACAGTCCACACCATCAGTGCCCCCACAAAACGAGAGCACGGATCTTTAGCCAACGTTTAGTCCTGTGCCCATGCCGCGCCTGAAACGACGACGTTAAGTGACGTAGGAGAAATAAAGCGTCACTGTGATCATCGAGGTCTGAATGTTTTTGGTGGCGATAGTTCGGTGGTCATATTCGTGAGTCGCAATGAGACTGATGTTCGCTCTTTTTTTTCTACAAGGTCGACCCTCCTCTCGGTTGTGTAGAAAAGCTATTCGAGAAACATTTTTCTTTGCATCAAATGAACGAGTATTATGTATTTATTTTTTTAAAAGAGTAACTATTAATAAGGATAACACGTGATAATCGAGTAAAATATACTATCAATCTAGAAATTACTGCTTTTGCGAGTAAAACACAAGTCTGAGGGCAAACGATTGACCCCAGGAGTTTATTCCAAAAAGACAAGTCGATTAAATTGTATCTATGTAGCTTTTGTATGCAGGCTAATTTGTATTAAAAGCTAAAATATTGTAAACTAGTTCATACGATGAGTGAATGTTGCAATTAATACTTGTGATATTAGAAAAATATAATCAAGAAACACTCCAGGTCAACGACCACTTGTAGGAGGATGCACAAATGTTAATGTAACGAACAGCCATATTCCAATGATATTTATGATGGTCCATTTTCGTGTAACACTATCTGTTGGCCGATGTCGTTGGCAGGACGGGTAATACTGAACTGATTAGATGGGGTCAACTAAACGTGTTTCGACGACAATGCATCATCGTGACTTGTCAATGGATTAGATTTAGTACTCAACGCAATGCTGTTTCAATTACTATATTATTTTAGCTATAAGTATGTTATGTAGTGTTTACAATCTTTTATGTGATATGCATTTTATTATTATATACTACAAGTATACCAGCTTCTGTTGTAAGTAAATTAATAAAATAGCCGAAACATTTACTAAATCCTTTTTATTTATTTGTCTAATATACTGCTTTCACAACAGTACAACAGTCTTAGGTCAGATCACTGCTTTTCATTTACGACAATCTGGGCCATCGGTTTAGACTTCACAATCGATCTTACTACGTAATTAAGCTATTAATGGCAATTATGATAGTAGTAAATTAGTTCATAAATAAAACTACATTATCTAGAATATATACATTTATTAATTACGTTTGCCATTTGACAATATAGTAGTTCCGTTTGCCGACTCTCAATAATGACAACAAATTCGGCAGTATGTGCGCAGACTGTGTTATCACTTCATCTATCTTCTTTATTTTTTGGTGGTTGATGTAAAATCCACCAGCTTCAATTATTCTTATTGCATCACCTGGAAACAAATAAACGACCATAAATTATAACTACAGAAACTCAACAACAACAATAAAATAAAAAGAAACATTTAATACTTATCAGAAGTTTAGGAATAAACAAGTTTTTGTTTAAAAGTACTCCTCTGCCGTGCCAATCCAAAATACTGTAACTCGACTTACAGTGTTGTGCTTTAACAACGATTAATCAGTTTATTGACGTCGGTTTAGTACCCCTGTTTTTCTGTGCCGAACTCCCCTCAGAGTGAGTGGGTGATTATGTCGGACTCGAAACGTCCCCAGGTACCAGTAGCCGCGGAACCAGGTATACCCTTTTTTTTCCGTGCGGAAATCCCCTCGGATACCACCTATCGGTGGCATGTCGGACTCGAACCGACTAAAACCGCACGCCGTCTCGGGTACTAATAGCCGGGGAACCAGGTATACCCTAGAAAGGAAGTCCCTGGTGGACCAGGTACACCCTAGAAAGGAAAGCACTTGTACCCCGACGTCCCTCGGGCCATCTACGGCTGATAGATGACCCCTTCTGTTTGGGCACCCGGATGTTCTCTTCCTGCCCCCGACCGCTTCCTGACCGCTGCCGGCCTCACCTGTCACCTTCAGGCCTGCGCTTGTGGAGGCGCCCGAGCCGTCTGCAATACCTAGCCCGTTCTCGGGCCTGGTGGGCCGGGAAAGTTCTGAACCTCTCATGGTTTGCAGGAAGAGATTCTGCGCACCGGCACAGTGGTTCAGGTTCGTCTGGACCAGGAGGTTAGAGAATTGGTCCAATACTAGGCCGCCTCTACAACCTCCTCCATGGGCGATGACGCCCGAATGACGTCGGCCAAAGCTTTGGCCGACGCTACGGGACAGCTGACCCACACAGCGCCGAGTCCTCCTGGACCGGGGCGGATGGTGCCGATCCTGATGTTGTCCGCGTTGCACCCCGTCTTCTCAAGAATCGCAACGCGGACATCCTCGGTCGTTACGGAGTCGTCCAGGCCTGAGATGCGCAGCTCCGAACACTTGGTGGGTCTGTCGATCTTCACACCATTCGTGGCTACGCTAAAAGCTTACTTTACGCACTGATTTCTGGGTGAACCGGATTGTCGGCGTACAGCTCTACATGCACGAGTTCCAGAAGGAAGTCTCACCAGTCTCTCACCAATCAGGCTGATTTGCTCCGATTTTGCTCTGGCAATGACTCTTTTGAGGGACCTGGAGGCAAAGTTGCCCCCCCCCCCCCTCTAACTCCCCCCGTCTACCCCAGTATACGCGGGGCAGCCTAGACATCCACGCCCAGATTGCTTGTTCTGGTACCATTAAGACTTGGCAAATTTATCAAGCCAATACAAGTTAGTGGCAATATCTTGTTTGCTTAGCGAATTAATAAGTGTGTGTTAAGCGCTGTAAATGTGTGTAATTTATTTTAATCCATAATGAAATTAAATATGAGTATAAAGTATTTGTCTGTAATATACATATAATACAATTGATAAAAATAGAATTCGTTACAACATGTATATTTTTAAAATATATTAAATATACATAGTCTTACTTTCAGTAGGAAAGCACTTCGCTTTTAGTCCCAGTTCCAGAACAGTGATGCCAGGGGACAGTAGGAGGCTTGTGACAGTCGCTTCGCTAAATATCTGCTCTAACTCGGTTCCACTGAGAGATACAAGTGACTTAACATTCTTGCTATAAATCGCCTCTGTTGCCTTCAGTGCTCGTTCTAAGCCTTCCTCTACAAAAAACAACAAAAGACGGATGTAACTTCGAAATGAAATTATTTTGCATGCACAAACATTATAAATCTACGAGTGTTTAAGTTGGAAGTATTAACAAACAGTATTTTTAATTCTCTAAATCAATGAAGATTTACGAGTATATTAAAATGACTTCATAGTTAACTAACACGTGATCCACGGGCACCGACACCGGCTACAATTCTGATAAATAGTTTTTTTTTCATAAAAACATTCCAAAACAATCATACTTATATCATTGGGCGGCAAAGATTAAAAGTTAGTAGAGACAAGATTAAGTAATTCCAGTTTAAAATTCTTTTCGTATATTTTCAAACCAAAGGACAGGGATTTGGTAGCCTGCTGCCCTGGGCAGCTTTTGTGACTTGTTTGTTTTTCTTTTTTGATACACTTAATTTTTCCTGTTTCATTAACTAACAGTAAGATGAACTTATTCATTAGCTAGTTCCTATAATCCGCAAACCCGAAAGTTACCCCAAATACTTACTTCCATGTACTAAAGTCGTGAGTTGATCAGCCAAGCAGGTTTGTGGATATCTCTGTTCTGGATGTTGTTTATGTTTGAACATTATATCCTTAATTTCTCCTAAACTATAGAATGTAAATAGCTTCAGGAATTTTTCCACTTCTGTATCTTTTGTTCTTATAAAGAATTGATATAAGCTGTACGGGCTAGTTTTGTTCCCATCCAGCCATATAGCATTTCCAGCTGATTTACCGAACTTGTCACCTTCTTCGGTTGTCACTAATGGTAATGTTAAACCTATAAATATAAAAAATAAAGAGAAACAGTTTGTAAATGCGCCTGCACACACGCAATATAAAGTATTGACATATCAGATGTTTGTATTGAAAAAGTTAGAATTTATTGTAAGAAAAAAAAAAGGGAGTAAAGCGATGATCTAAAGAGGTCACGATCCTTAGCAGTGACAGGAACGACAGGAGGAAGAAAAAAAAGTACTCATTACGTAAATACTATACATCGTTACCGTAAACATTTTTCTTAACAGTTCTACTAATTAGTTCATGTCCGGCGCTTATATTTCCCATCTGATCACTTCCGCCTATCTGAAAAGTAATCGTCCAACCCAATTACATCTATTGATTTCGATTCCACTTTAAGAAATTAATTTGAACGAGTTATTACGGCATTAAGTCTATCTTTGTATTTTTTTTGTGCATAAAGCATAAAAATAAATAAAAAAATATGCAAAATATAGTATAAGTCCTAGTCCTAATAGAAATTGCTGAAATATACAAGCGATCAATATTTGCATAAATAGAAGAGTGATTAATTTAACATGTACTTTTTATGTAAACATTGGGATATTGAGACAGCTTCAGTGCGAACTCTTGATCCTATATGCAGCCACACCTATAATAACTATACATATTTTAACTAGAATGTCGATGAGCCCCTTTCCACCTTACATTGGATAAATATAAGAAAGAGAGAGAGAGAGAGAGAGAGAGAGCTACACAGAAAATCGGTGTTAAGCAATTCTTTCGTTGCCTTTCACTGAGTGAGTGCGGTTACCGGAGCCCAAATCCCCCTGCCGCTGACTCGAGCGGGGGGGACTCCAAGGGCAGCAACGCACTTGTAAGTTTTGAGTTGCAGGTGTCCATGGGCGGCGGTAGTTGCTTACCATCAGGTGACCCGTCTGCTCGTTTGCTCCCTTATATCATAAAAAAAATATAGTTGGTTCAAGCTCCATTATAAACTACAATACTCCTTAATAAATTGCAAGTTGTGTATAACATAGGCGAAATCTCTTATTTAATTTTAAATTTTAACTCTGTAACTGAAACTATAAGGGTATTTTCAATAAAGAAGAATTTTGTTTAAAAAACTTTTAATACTTTACCTGAAATCTGCAGTCATATTCTTTTAATAAATGTAACCAGTCATAAGACTGGAATATCTGGTATGCAAATTCAGTAAAACTCATCCCCAACTCAGAATTAATTCGACCTTGTACGCTTTGTTTCAATAGCATTGTTCCCATTCTGAAATTTCGTCCTATTTCACTTACAAACTGTATTGCATCTATATTCCTATACCATGTTTCATTATTGACTACTCTGAAATTTAGAATAAAAAACAATTATTCTAGAGGGATCCTATTAACTCTTCACATGCCACCCCTCTGATACCACACTGCCACTACACTGTAAAATACTTTCACCAGTAAGCACTGTACAGTGTAGAAGCATATCAGAGGTTAATAGACCCAATTTGGTCATCCATTTTTACCTTAAGGGCTTCAGTTTGCTTGGATCTTCAGACCAGATATACTTTTGATGGTTTTCAAACACAGTAATTAAATTCTTATTAATACAGGCAATATTTTCTTGAATGATCTCTTTTTGAAGGGCTATTCTGTCTGTACTCCTTCCACTTGGATCGCCAATATATCCTGTGGCTCCACCTAACTGAAATATTTGATAAAACAAAACAATTTTGAAGTTTTTTTTTTTACTATATATATAAAAAGGGTACAATACATGCAATAATAAAATAAAATTATAAAAATAAACAGGAAATTTAAATATCTAATTTGGTATATTATGTTTAGCTTAAATATATATATAAACTGCTATATTGTTAGAATAAATCTATGCAAACCTTAAAAGCTTTATATGAATAACAATTAGTAATAGGCTTAGATAGAATGCATTAAATTATACTTCTCACAGTTAGTAGAAATGTATAATGTATGAGTAAGTTGTAAGGTAAGAAGACAACATTTTGTCGGTTAAAAAAAAACTAACCATTTTGCAGATGCCAAATTGTTGAAATAAAGTTAATAATTGGTACTGGTATGGTGTTATTGGTCAAAAACATGTTAGGGGTTAACGCAGATTGGCAAATCTACTATGGTTACATCAGATTGCCAAGTTCAATGTTATGCCAATGATATAGTGCCAAATATCTTACCAGTGTGATTACATTATGTCCAGCTCTCTGCCAATGTAATAGGTTGATTATAACCAATAGATTGCCTACATGCAAACTATTTGCTGTTGGGTCAAACCCAGCGTACACACATTGTGGAGCCTTGTTCAGTAAGTTTATGATTTCTGCACTGAAATTTTTTAAATAAATATATATATACTAGCTTTTGCCCACAGCTCTACCTGTGTGTATGTCGGTTATGGCAGTAAAAATAGCCTATGTCCTTCCTCAAAAATCTTAACTATCTCAGTACCAGTATTGATTCCTCATACAAACATCCACCCCCCTTTTCACCCCCTTAAAGAACGATTTCTGAGATAAAAATTATACTATATCTTTTCCCGGGACTGCAGCTATCTCTATTCAAAATTTCATTTAATAGATTTAGATGTGACAGACATCCTTTCGTATTTATAATATTAGTATGGATTTTATAAGTACATTTAATGTAGAATATGTACTCATATATGACAAAAAAATAAACATAAAATGTGAGTTTTCTATGTGTTATCCTTCTGTAGATAACTTATAACTAATCTAATAATATTTATAAACAATATAATAATATATATTACTAATATAATATAATAATATTAGTAATCAGTTGATAACTGTCTACCAGAAAACACAGGTTTATCAAAGTACCTACTGTTTCCAAGGAATACTGGAAACTGGTAACTATAAAATCATTTTAAAGTGAATAAATCTACAATTATTATTATATTTTAATAACTGTTTATTAAAGAAGAGATTAATTAGTAATTTTTTACTCACCTGGCAGTATTAGGAAACATATCCTGATACATTCCCCTTTCACTAAGCTTCAAAATATTTTTGCTAGCGTAGGTGCGATAAGGAGGTCGTAAACATGAAATTTTAGATAGACGGAAAAATTGTTTTAATAAATTCATGATTGAAATATACCTGAGGAAGGCACCAGAGACTTAAAACTTAACCTAAAATCTTGTATTAACGAACAAATTCCTTTACACAAGAGTATAAGATACTGTATGGACCATATACATCATATTAGTAATGATAGTTAACATAATTTATGTTAGTTATGATATAAACCCTTTTTGAAATCTTGTACAATACGAGATCTCTCAATTGTTACCCGCTGGACACGGTTGACCATTAACAAAATCCAAATTTATTTCAGAAGTGATAAGATTGATTTTTGAATGTTAAACCACAGGGACAGTAAAATTATATTTTTGTTTGACACAAATGACAATAAAAGAATCGTTCAGAACTTAAAAAAATATTCTTTATTTATAAATTAACAGATTCAAAGTTTAAACATTGAAAGAATATTTTTCACACACACACACACTTTTTCCAAAATTTAGATAACTTTTTAGTGGGTAAAAAATTCAATAAACTGCCAATGCGTTGGCAAAGATGCGTCGATTGCATGGGTGATTACTTCGAATAACAGAAATAAAAAGTTTGAAAAAATAAGTACTTTCACTTATTGCATACAAAACGGCAATTGCATAGGTAAAGACCTAAAATATATATACAAATATATATCCTAGTAAACATTAATTTATTATGAAAAAGAAATATACAAACGTAAAATATGCACTTATCAATTGAAATGGAGTTTTATTGCTAAATTACTGCTTTTCTTAAAATTATTGAAAATAGTTATAAATATTACAGGTATAAAAAGTACGTCAATTAGACCTAATTTGTTTGTCCTAACTTCTAGAATTCAATAAAATTGTGTCCCCGTGTACACAAAGTTAAATATTTATTTTTCGCTTTCTAGCATCCTTTCGTTTTTTTTGTGTGCGTTACCCCAGCAAAATAATGTCGAAAATGGTCATTTAAACGTTATAGATAATTAGTTGCTCCCCTTCTGTAATTGTTAAGCACATTTTTAAATTTGTTTCACTTAAACTTTTTTAGTTATTTCAAAAAAACATTTCCTGTTGGGGTAACGTTTGAAACGTTACCGCAGCCAGACATTTTCTTTTTTAATTGTAATATTGAAATAAATTTTAGCTAAATAATTAGTTATCTGGACTAGGTAAATGTTACAACTTATTTGGTATTTGTATTTTCTTCGGCTGCGAAGTTATTCGAAATCCTGCTGGAGTAACGTTTGTGGGTTTGCTGGATCTCTGAAACGGGTAAGCGGATTGTTACCATCTTTTGTACATAACTTCTTAAGGATTAGTTTTAATTTGTTCGACAATAAAATAACAAAAATAATGAACCGTTTAAAAATTATTTAGGTAAGTATGAAAACACTTCAATACGTCCTAACACTTTAAATAAGACCTCTAAAGACTTACTTGAAACGTTATTCTATTGCTTGTAACTGTAGGCGTAAAGTCCACGGGGTAAAATAAATTAAACACGAACTTGTAACACCAACGTACAATAGTTTATTTACGGCCACTTTTGTATTACAAACTATAACAGTTAGCCACAGAGAGAGGAGAAGCTTAGACACGCACAAAAGACATAGAAAGGCACAATAGTTTAGCTAGAATAGATCACAGTTTAGGAAGATTACGACAACAGAAATAAATACGTTTTATCACTGATAGCACGGGGTACTAGCTAGACAAATATTAAAGCGAACAAGCGCGGAGTGTGCGTCGGGCGGAAGCAAACAATGCACTATTAGGTGGGAGTAGCCTCGAAACGAAGCTGCGCCGGCGCCTCCGAGCGGACCCGAAGACTGCCGAAGGCCACACTTCGTCCACCCAGCTGCTCCGCTATAGTACTCCCCCCCGAGACCGTTCCTACGGTCGGTAAAAATCAGTAAAACGGACTTTCCTACCGCTTTTTGTGTATTTCTCTTTACTGACGGCAGGGGACGTAGGCGGCATCGCTACGGCAGGGGACGTAGGCGGCATCGTTACGGCAGGTGGAGTGAGGTCCTGAGCTGTGAAAGCGGGTTTTAATCGGTCCACTGAAATATTGTCCTCCTTACCATGCAATGCTACGTGAAAAAACTTCGGACCTCGGCGCAGTACCTTATGCGGACCTGTATACGGCGGCTCCAAAGTCTTCCGAACTCGATCTTGCCTTACAAATACATGGGACGTATGTTGCAGATCCTTCGGTATGTAGAAGGTTCCTCTACTGTGCCAAGATGCATGTTTGGGTGCAAGGTCAGCCATGTGTTTAGCGAGGCGGGTGGCGAAGCTGGTGATGTCTTCAAGCTTATGGTCATCGGTTGGTGAGAGGAATTGGCTCGGCAAGCGTAATGGCTCGCCGTACACCAACTCGGCCGCAGAAGCTTGCACGTCTTCCTTCCAAGCACTGCGCATCCCCAAAAGGACCAGTGGTAAGACCTCCGTCCACTGGGTAGTGTTGTGGCACATGATAGCCGCTTTGATTTGGCGATGTGTACGTTCTACCATCCCGTTGCCCGAAGGGTGGTAAGCCGTAGTGCGAAAGTGATGCGCGCCGACTAGGGATGTAATGGCCTTGTACAGGCCGGACTCGAACTGACGACGTCGGTCCGTAGTAATTCGTGTTGGGCAGCCAAACCTTGCTATCCAACCAGATATTAAAGCAGCCGCGCAGGTGTCAGCAGTCATGTCCTTCATCGGGACCGCCTCACACCACCGTGTGAACCTGTCAATGATAGTGAGACAGTACCTGAAATCAGCAGAAGGAGTTAGTGGCCCTACGATGTCGAGATGGAGGTGGGCAAATCTCGACGAGGTGATAGGGAAAGAGGAAAGTGGAGTAGAAGTGTGACGGGTGACTTTGCTGCGCTGGCAGTCAAGGCAGCGTCTTGACCACTCTCTACAGTCCTTGCGGATCCCTGGCCACACAAATCTTTGTGTGACCAGTCGCACAGTAGCGGTACGTCCGGGATGACTCAGACCGTGCAGTGCGTCGAACACTTGTCTACGTAAAGCAGGTGTTACATAAGGCCTCGGCGGCTGTGTTGAGACGTCGCAGTATACTTTGGTGTCTGAGCCTGCCGGCGTAATAGGTTTTAGCTTAAGCGATGAACCTTGTAAGAGAAGCGCTTGAAGCTCTGTGTCCGTTTCTTGGGCCTTGGCGAGTATAGTGAAATCAATAGCTTTAGTAATCTCTTCTACACGGGATAAACTGTCGGCGACGATATTTTCTGTTCCAGGTATATACCTTAAATCCATAGTAAACTGCGCAATATAGTCGAAATACCGGAATTGTCGAGGGGAACAATTTTCCCTTGGTGTTTTATAGGCGTAGGTAAGAGGTCGATGATCGGTAAATACAACAAAATGCCTTGCTTCGATCATGTGTTTAAAATATTTGATAGCTTCGTATATAGCTAGTAGCTCCCTATCGTAAGGGCTATATTTTTTCTGAGCCCCGTTTAACTTTTTGGAGAAGAAAGCTAGGGGTTCCCACTCCTTACCGTTACGCTGCTGAAGCACAGCACCAATGGATACGTCGGAGGCATCGGTTAGAATGGAGAGCTCAGCGTGAGGTAGAGGATGTACCAGAAGAGTGGCGTGAGATAGCTCTCTTTTACATTTATTGAAAGCAGCTAATTCCTGTTGCGTCATGTGTACTGGAGCTGATCTCTTGACGGTACCACCTGCCAGTATGGCGTGCAGCGGTGCTTGAACTTTAGCAGCACCGGGTATAAACCTTCGATAGAAGTTCAGCATGCCGAGGAACCTCCGTAATTCCTTTACAGTCCTGGGTACAGGGAACTCCTGGATAGCCTGGACTTTGGTGTCCATGGGCCTAAGGCCAGCAGCAGAAACTTGATAACCAAGAAAAGTTACCTGTGACTGTCCCCAAACGCATTTGCTTGCGTTGATTAACACACCATAGTCAGCCAAGCGTGTTAGTAGGGTCCTTAGGTGAACCTCGTGAAGTCCAGGTGGAGAAAAGACCAGCAAATCGTCGATATACCCGTAGCAGAAGTCTAGACCTGTAAGCACTTCATCTATAAACCTCTGAAAAGTACTTGCAGCGTTGCGCAAACCAAAATTCATAAATTTGAACTCAAATAATCCGAACGGGGTAGTTATCGCAGTTTTGGGTATATCAGGTGGATAAACTGGTAGCTGATTATAAGCCTTTACCAGGTCAATCTTGGAGAATACGGTGCACCCCTGAAGCTGCTGTGCAAAGTCCTGAATGTGGCGAACTGGGTACCTGTCAGGTATAGTACGCGCGTTGAGTGCACGGTAGTCACCGCATGGTCGCCATCCATCATCCTTCTTCTTGACCAGGTGCAGAGCCGACGACCAAGGACTCTCTGATCTCCTAGCAGTACCGTTGGCAACCATCTCGTTAAACTCTTTCTTAGCGATCCTAAAGCGCTCTGGATCCAAACGTCTTGGTCTACAGGCTACTGCTAGTCCAGGTGTAGTCTTAATATAGTGTACAGTTGAGTGCTTAATTGGTTTACCTTTAGAAATGGTACCTGCAGGACGGGTCAACTCCGGAAACTCTCGCAGTAGCTGGTGAAACTCTGTAGTCCCGGTCACAGTCTTTATAGATGCTACGTCATCTGGAACTCGTTGTGGTGCTCCTGACACGGTGAGTGACGTGGTACCATCAGTAAGCCTGTGATTACGACAGTCTATTAACAAATTATAAAAACTCAAAAAGTCAACACCTATGATTGGTTTCGATACGTCAGCGATCGTGAACTTCCATTCGTAGTTTCGGCGAAGCCCTAGGTCTAGATTCAATTGAATGGGACCATAGGTATGTATAATAGTACCATTCGCAGCTGTCAACCCATATTTAGTCTTATAACAAGGGGTCTTAACTGCTGATCGAGGAAACACACATAGATCTGAGCCGGTATCGACAAGAAAAA